ACACACACACACACATGCACCTGTTACACACCTCAACACACACACACACACACACATCTGTTACACATGACAACACACACATCTGTTACACACCTCAACACACACACACACACATCTGTTGCACACATCACACACACATCTGTTACACACACACACACACACACATCTGTTGCACACGTCACACACACATCTGTTACACACACATCTGTTACACACCAACACACACACACATCTGTTACACACACATACACACATCTGTTGCACACATCACACACACATCTGTTACACACACACATGCACATCTGTTACACACTTCAACACACACATCTGTTACACATCTACATTTCACACACTGTTCAGGACAAAACGATTCGTCTTAAAGGGGCAACTTGACAAAAAATTCCAGACTGAACGTTCCTGAATTTACTCGATCGTCCCGGAGACGTTCACTGTCTCAGATCTGATACTTGCTTTGTTTTGACACTGACACTGGAGACTCCTTCAATTAGTGTTAAATAAATTACAGAAAACTTCACGATTACGCATTATACTTGTTAGCTACATTAGCCTTTGTCCATATTGTCGCTTTTTAAATGTGCTTCCTCTGTGTGTGTGTGTGTGTGTTTTAGGAAATACGCGCCTCAGTGCAGTGTGTGTGGAGAGCTGATAATCCCGAGAGAGGACGGGACGGACAGCTACACGGTCGAGTGTCTCGGACGCTCTTTTCACGAGGACTGCTACCGCTGTGAGGTGTGTGTGTGTGTGTGTGTGTGATACTCACAAATCATTTTCCATCCATCACTCTGCAGTATCACTGTGTAAGAAAAGGAGAAATGAACAAACCGAAGCCCAGATACGGTTTAAAAACATTCAGTTATAAAGTTTATGATCCTGGTACATGCACTGTCTCAATCCACGTGTTTTTTTTTTTTTTTTTACGTTTGTTTCAGTTATAAGCAAAACCATGACCAACGTATCTCATCCTCACAGATCGTCTTTTCTTTATCTTCCTCCAGCTGTGTGCGGTGCTTCTCTCCCCGGAGCCCAACGATCACGGCTGCCACCCGCTGGACGGACAGATCCTGTGCAAACCCTGCCATCTCTCTCTGATCCAGACGAGCCAGCACTAAACCCACGCCACATTAACGCGAAACTAATCGACGCTAGTTTTCCTCTTTATGTCATTCTGCATTCATGCTCTCGGTCCAAAACGCTTGAACTCTCATTCTAAAACGCTTTTACTGTGAGAAAAAAAAGCCTAATGTGGCTTAACGTACCAAAAAAAAAATAAAAACCACCAGAAACACCAAATCTCACACACACTTACCTCATCAGAAACACTCCCACTTCCTGAAGGTCATAGGTCATCGAAAGTTCATCGAAAAAAAATAATTTTCACACTAAACTTTTTTCGGCACTAAAGAAACCTGTTATAAGGAAACATCTTAACATCGCTTAATGTGTTAAAACAATTTTGAAAAGTTTGAGGTGGAACAAAATGAGATGTTTATAACTGGTTAGCTAGGTGGCTAGTTAGCTAGCTAGTTAGGTCATCGAAAGTTCATCGAAAAAAAACATTTTCACACTAAACTTTTTTCGGCACTAAAGAAACCTGTTATAAGGAAACGTCTTAACATTATTTAGTTTATTTCATAAAGCACATTTAAACACAACTCATTAAAAACGTCGCTTAATGTGTTAAAACAATTTTGAAAAATTTGAGGTGGAACAAAATGAGATGTTTATAACTGGTTAGCTAGATGGCTAGTTAGCTAGCTAGCTCTGCGAATTTTTTTTAAACCTCAACTTGCGCTTTAATGATTAATGATTAATGATTTCCTCTTGTATTAAAAAGTGAATGTTTGATTTTAACTTTTTCATGGCTGGTGTATAATCGATTGATTCTAAATAAAATTTTCGCAAACACAGCTAAGCTTTGTAACTAGCTAGCTGGCTAATCACCTTGCTTTCCAAGACATAAAAAACGTACGCATTATTTACGTTGAGGCATATTAGGGATTATTTGTTTCACTCTTATCTGAAATATCGGCTATTTGCCGTAAAGTTCATGCGGATTAAAATGGGGATTTAAGAAATTACGAAACACTCGTATTTGTTCCACACTTTAAATTTATTAATCGTAACAACTGTCTGATAATCCTGTCTAGCGTTTTAGATCGTCTCCTAGAGTTCACACTAATTAACTGCTAATTGGTTTATGAGCTAGCAGGCTACAATAGCAACAGACGTGGTGTTTTCTATGCTAGCTAGTGTGTTAAAATGAATTGTAGTGGAACTCTGATCTGCGTTTGGGACGCAGCCGGATGACGAGAGCTACAGTGCTACATGACGGACAAAAAAAACCAAAAAATGCTGTTGTGATTTAAAGAAACAGTTTGTCCAAAGCTGAAACGTATCAAATCTCCTTCGAGTCCAAACACAATCGATCAGCCGAGACATCTTCGTTTTCTGAAATGTACCTTTTTCATTTTGCACTGAAGTCTAATACTAAGCAGCGGAAGCTAATAGTTGTAGCATTAGCGGTTTAGCGCGCCTGGAACCGTACAGAACAAACACATCTCATGACGATGATCGATATTATTTCACTTTTGGCTAAAACGTTCCTTTCGTTTTGGGATAAAGATTGTATACGGAAATCCTGCAGTACTAGGAAAACAAAGCTGGGAAAAAAATGCTTTTCTCTTTTTCTTTTTTTTTTAAACAATGATTATGAATATTCAATATTAGCTTATTTTTATATTTAGACTCCTTCCAGTCTCTTCATTTCCTTTCCTTTTATAGACGATGTAACAGCACGTATATCAAACATATCCAGTGTAGTCTGATTTATTTTTGCACTCTTTGCGTAATTCAGTGCACCAAAGATATTTATTCCACATTAAACAAGATTCCGTGCCTGTTTTTTTTTTTTTATTATTATTATTAGCACAGATATTGAATAATATGAAAATGTGTATTTTTTTGTTTGTTTGTTTTAAATGATGGAAGAAAATAAACTGATATGTGCCACAGTTTCACTTATTTTGTGCTTGAGCTCACAGTACAGTTCCTCAGGGGTCCGTCCTGGGCCCGTTTTATTTTCGTTATTTTCACACTAACCCTTTCGGTCATGTGACACATCTTTGTGATTTCATTTGTCAGTGTTTTGCTGATGATTTGAAGCGTTGCGTTAGGACTGAATCCACCACATCACCACCTGCTCGTGCTCTCTTTCTGTGTTTCACGTAGTATTAAACTGCTCGTAGTATTAAACTGCTCGTGGTATTAAACTGCTCGTGGTATTAAACTGCTCGTGGTATTAAACTGCTCGTGGTAGTAAACTGCTTGTGGTATTAAACTGCTCGTGGTATTAAACTGCTCGTGGTATTAAACTGCTCGTGGTATTAAACTGCTTGTGGTATTAAACTGCTCGTGGTATTAAACTGCTCGTGGTATTAAACTGCTCGTGGTATAAACGCACTTTTTCTCTGTATATCAAAATCAGCTCACGTGAATGTTCTATAAAAAAAGCAGAAAAAAAAGAGACTCATCAGCTACACTGGTTTCAAACTTCAACACAAACTCCAGCTTATGGTGCAAGAAGACGTCACCTGTCTCTCATCCTGTCTTACCTTTCTGAGATCCTCCATCACGACACACCTGTACACACACTCACTGACTCTGACTCTGACTCTGGCCTCGTCACAATGTTTAGATTATAAACTACTCAAAGTTTAGACTATAAACATTTAGGGTTTAGACTATAAACAGAAGCGACATTTCAGAACCTCCCACTTCATTCTCACCTGGACTATTTTGTCCATTTCCTTTTATTTGTTTGTTTGTTTGTTTGTTTGTTTGTTTTTGGTTCCGGTTGATGTCTGGTTCTGGGGACCTCAAATTATTATTATTATTATTATTATTATTATTATTATTATTATTAAATCTGCATGAAATGCTGTATGATTAGATTAATTAATTGTATGTTTTCCATCAAATTAAATTTGATTTTTAAATAATTTGTTTATTAAAAAGGCCAAAGTATCCTAGAAGATAAAGTAAAAGTGCAAAAGTCTTAGGAAACCTAGTTTCTTTTTAGTACAAATGTTGTTATAGATGTTTATTTTATGATCTCTTTTTATGATATCGAGTCAGTACAAAAAAAATTTTTAGATTTCCAACAAAAAAAAAAGTTTGTATGTCAGTAAAGAAAGCAACATGTGACGTAACAGAGCTCTTTTCAGACCAAAACATAACGACGGCTGCTTCAGGGTTTTACGTTTTACTGCGAAAGCAGAATGGAGTGACAGTCGGAGTCTCAGAACCTCACCAGCTCATTTCCTCACACACACTGTTCCTCACACTACTCAAGTCAAGTGGCTTTATTGTCATTTCAATCATATACAGCTGGTTAGTACACAGTGAAATGAAACAATGTTCCTCCAGGACCAAGGTGCTCCATAAAACACACACAGAACTACAGCAGACGGCACAAGACTGGGCACATGGCGGGGACAACCTGGACGGAGTGCCAATCCATCGCAGGGCACAATTACGCTCACACACACACTCACACACACTCACACACACACACACTCAACAACGAACAACAATTTCCAAATGGACAATTTGGAAATGCTAATCAGCCTATAACGCATGTCTTTCTACAGGGGGGAGGAAACCAGAGTACTCAGAGGAGAACATGCAAGCTCCACGCACAGGGCGGAGGCAGGAATCAAACCCCCGACCCTGGAGGTGCGAGTCAAACGTGCTAAACACTAAACTACCATGAAATCAAAAGTTTCTACATGAAAAAATACTACGATAAAGAGCAGTTGTTCTTCTCTTCTCCCGTTACGGGTCGCCACAGCGGATCATCGCTCTGTGTATATGATTTGGCGCAGGTTTTACGCCAGACACTCTTCCTGACGCAACCCTCCCTGGGTTTATCCGGGCCTGGGAGCGGCACTGCCGTGTGTAACCCCAGTAACTGGCGCTGGATCCCTGGACGGGAATCGAACCCGGGCCACGGCGGTGAGAGCGTCGAAGCCTAACTAACCGCTAGTCCTCCAGGGACCCGCTATAAAGAGCAGTGAACAGTAATAAACTCAACAAAGTCAATATTTAGTGCATGACTCAATACTAATCAGAATATCGTCTTAATCTGAATCGGATTGTAATAGGATTACGGTGTTTACATTCGTGACTCAATACTAATCAGAATATCGTCTTAATCTGAATCGGATTGTAATCGGATTGTAATCGGATTGCGGTGTTTACATTCGTGACTCAATACTAATCAGAATATCGTCTTAATCTGAATCGGATTGTAATCGGATTGCGGTGTTTACATTCGTGACTCAATACTAATCAGAATATTGTCTTAATCTGAATCGGATTGTAATCGGATTACGGTGTTTACATTCGTGACTCAATACTAATCAGAATATCGTCTTAATCTGAATCGGATTGTAATCGGATTGCGGTGTTTACATTCGTGACTCAATATTAATCAGAATATCGTCTTAATCTGAATCAGATTGTAATCGGATTGAGGTGTTTAAATGCATGACTCAGTACTAATCAGAATATTGCCAAATTCGGATTAATATCGGAATATTGATGCGCGTGTAAACGCAGCTAGTGTTTCAGTAGCGAACGTCATCATTCGTCGTCTGTTGTTTACACGAAGCGACATTTTATGTGGCCTCGTAACGTCGGGAGCGCGCCCGAGAGAGAGAGAGAGAGAGAGAGAGAAAGAGAGAAAGAGAGAGAGACGTGCGCGCTCCCGCTCGGTCGAGTTCACACGCCTTGCGCGCTCCCGCTCAGTCTCGGGTTCACACGCTCGCGTTGAGACGCAGCAGCCAAAAGGAGCTTCTTCTCCTCCTTCTTCTTCTTTTTTTCTCACGGCGTTCATTTTGGAAAGGCGGATTTTCCCCCCGACGGTCAGATTAAACCTACTTTAAAAAAGAACCCCAGATAATATATAACTATATAAATATAAATATAGAGGTGAAAACGCATATGTGCATGAACAGGGAAGGGGACGCGCAGGATGGTTCGGGAAACCAGACACCTCTGGGTGGGAAATTTACCCGAACACGTTCGAGAAGAAAAAATTGTCGAATATTTTAAACGGTGAGTTTTTTTTTTCTTTTTCTTTTTCTTTCCTCATTAACGTTAGCTCGCGCGAGGCCTCCGTTTAGCCCGCGTTACAGAAAAACAACAACAACAACATCAACAACACAGATATTAACAGTTTACAGCGCACACCACTTCAAAATTCACATCTTTTCACCATGTTGGGTGTTTAAAAGAGTAAACAATTCATCCTTGAGCAACAATTTCCATCAGTTAATGAGATTTATTTGACCGGTTAGCTTGTGGTGGAAGCGGGCTAATCGGCTAGTTAGCTAGCTAGCTAGCGCGGCGATTTTTAAAAAAAAATCGAATAATGCTTTAATGATTAGTCATTTCTTTTGGTATAAAACACGATTTTTGGTGTTTACCTTTAATTCCATACCTGGTTTATAACCGATTGTTGTTTTTTTAAAACAAAAACCCGCTTATTAAGATCATGCTAATGTTATCGCGAGGTTTGCCTGGATAGCTAAGCTAGCGCGCTAGCATGGCGGACCCTTGCTAAGCTAGTTACGATAACATTAGCTGGCTAATCTCCTTGTTTTCTTGCTTTCTATGAAATTTGGTGTTTTAATAGAAAACTGGATCCATGTAATGAATTAGGATTACTCATAATGCTACAGGTTTGTCCTGAAAGTTGGTTTTAAAGCGTTTAAATCGCGTTTAAGTTAAAAATCAGCTGTTTTGCAGTCAAACTTAACGCTAGCGTTCGACCCTAGAAAACGTTCCTGTTAATTTCTTTAAAGGTTTTTAAGCATTTAATCTTTCACATTATTGTATTTATCACTTTTATAGAGCTAGCTGTGTGGTTAATATTTCTTCCATAGAGTTACAACTAGATTTTAAATTGAAAATAGCTTTAAAATGGTGAAAGTGTGTGAGAAAGAGAAGGACAAGGACATTTCCTCCATGTGCTCCTGTTTGTAGCTGGAAAAAAAAAACCCAAAACAAAATAAATAAATTAAAATCATTATAAAAAAAAAGAGTACTTTTAACTCTATTCCTACAGTCTAGCTTTGGGATTTGCAGTGCAGCATGTTTAGGATGTATTATATTGTATAACTCACTGTATAATTCACTGTTAAAGAACTTAACATTATTTCATTATTTAATATTTCTGCTTGTTTTTCCTCTCTGTCTCTGTGTGTGTGTGTGTGTGTGTGTGTTCTGCAGGTATGGACGTGTGGAGAGCGTTAAAGTTCTCCGTAAGCGAGGTTCGGAAGGCGGCGTGGCAGCTTTCGTGGATTTCGTCGACATCAAAAGCGCCCAGAAGGCTCACAACGCAGTCAACAAAATGGGCGACAGAGACCTTCGCACTGATTACAACGAGCCCGGCTCGGTGCCCAACTCCGTCCGGGGCCTGGACGACAACCCGCCGTCTAGCAGTCACACGAGGGACGTTGCGAGTTTCTCGAGAGCTGCTGTGGGTCCCGTTTATGGGCCCCCGGTGTCTCTTCACACCAGAGAGGGACGCTATGAGCGCAGATTAGACGGGTAAGTGGACGCAGTCTCCCTTCGAACTGCCGGGGGGAACGTGGTGTCAGAAAAAAAAAAGAAAAGAAAAGAAATTAAACCATTTTCCAACACTTTCAGGTTTCCTTCTGGGTTTTAAAACACAAAATCGAAAGGCCGTTGCGTTTTTTTGATTATCTAGGGATTCCCTTCTGCTCTGAGGCCCGACTTCGCTCATGGGATTAATTATCCGTATGAATCTCGTTTGTCTCGTTTTTAAGAATGTGTGGATTTCTAAGGTGTGTTGTTCAAATAATTGGGATTACTGTGTGAGCCATATCCTTCCTCCGAGCTGGATATTACCCGTGTGGAAAATATCCCGGTGAGTTTGGATATTACGATCGATTTGCGGATATCTGGTGAGTTTTGGATATTAGGCGTTCCTTTCCTCCCCCTTCAAGAGTGTTGGATATTACCTGTACTTCCTCGGATCACCTGTGTGGAAGTATTTACCATGCCATTAACGGATTAAGTACGTACGTGATGTGGTTTTTTTTTTTT